CTCCAAGAGGGACAGCCAGCACCTACCCCGTATGTTCTAACTTCAGGTCAATGCTCATGTGTCTTTGAGACATACAAATAATTTAACCTCTATTTTTTGTATTTATTTATTTATTTATTTTAATATTCCTGTTCCATTGTATTTTTAAAAATAATTCCACCATTTTATTTTTTAAAATCTTTATTTTATGTATTTATTTTTATATGGTGCTGAGGATTGAACCCAGGACCTCACACGTGCTAGGCGAGCGCACTACCACTGAGCCACAGCCCCAGCCCTGTATTTATTTATTTTTGTAGTTGTAGATGCAAAAAAATACCTTTATTTTTTTATTTATTTTTATGTGGTGTTGAGGATAGAACCCAGTGCCACACTCATGCTAAGCAAGGGCTCTACCACTGAGCCACAGCCCCAGCCCCTATCCTCTATTTTTAAAATCCAACCATATGACCATTTTCCTGAAACGGTCTCATTGCTATAGCCTAGAATTGTATCATCTCTAATTTTACAATCACTTTCCACTGGGTTATTTAATAATTTAATATTCCAGATGCCCTGTTTAAATATCACTTATGCCCCATATCCTCCAGGACAATATCCAAACACATTAGACCCTTATAATATGGAATACTTTGTCTTCTTTTTTTAAAAAAAATATTTTTAGTTGTAGATGGTCACAATAACTTTATTTTGTTTATTTAGTTTCATGTGGTGCTGGGGATCAAACCCATGCTGGGGATCAAATACATGCTAAGCAAGCACTGTATCACTGAGCTACAACCCCGGGCCCCTTGTCTGTCTTCTTAACCTCATCTCTGCCTGTTCTCCATTGGACCCAGAATGCCAGCCATGTTAAGCCCTTCCCAGTTCCCCGAAATCCTACTCCTATTCCAGGGATTTGTATATTTTTTTCTTCTGTCCTGACTGCTCTGGTTCAATGTCCATCCTGTGGCCCACCACCCATAACTTTCAGGTTTCATCTCAAATATTAACATTTCAGAGCCATTGGCCAGCCATTCAGAATCCTTATCCCTAAATTAGAAAGGGTTCTTCCCTCCCTTACCCCAAGGTATTCATCAGGATTGCATGGAAATTTCAGAAAACCTGGCCACTACCATAAGCAGTGAAATAAATCATTGCAATAGTCTTTGGAGTGAAAAAGTAACTGGCAATAGCAAAAGAAAGGAGAGAGAGAAAGTAAGGAGGAGAGGGAGAGAGAGAAGAAGGAAGGGAGGCAGGGAGGAAGGAAAGAAAGTTCAAGATTGATGAGAAATGAGAGAATTTGGAGTGAAAAAGAATAAGAAAAGATCCAGCTTCTTGAAGAATATTTTGGGCAAGGGCAAACTTAGACACTTTAAGATGCAAGATCACGGGGCTGGGGATGTGGCTGAAGCGGTAGCGCGCTCGCCTGGCATGCGTGCGGCCCGGGTTCGATCCTCCGATCCTCAGCACCACATACAAACAAAGATGTTGTGTCCACCGAAAACTAAAAAAAAAATAAAAAATAAAAAAATAGATATTGAAATTCTCTCTCTCTCTCTCTCCTCTCTCTCTCTCTCTCAAAAAAAAAAAAAAAAAGATGTAAGATCACTGGTGGCACAGGCCTGTAATCCTAGCAGCTGGTGGAGGGCTCTGAGACAGAGGAGAATCCAGAGTTCAAAGCCAGCCTCAGCAAAAAAAAAAAAAAAAAGATTCAGGGTTGAGATGGGTACAAAGGATACCTCCAGTGGCCAAATGCAAATGAAGGCAGTGGGATGGAACTGCCAAGCAGCATCATGGGATACAAACTCATGGAATGAAAGACATGCCAATGTTATCTTCTGTTTCATGGAAAATCTTGAGCCAATCTGGCCTGGGAGCAGTTTGCCTCCCACCTAACAGCATGTCTGCTTATGTAGATCTATTTTTAGACAGTTATGAAATAATACATCTATAGGTACATCTTATTTTTATTTAGTAAATAATTACTCATAGTGAACGTTGAGGTTTTTCTTGCTTTTTACTATGTGTAATCCTGGCACATGCTTCCATGACTATTTCCTCAGGCCAGATTTGGAGCAGTAGAATTACTAGATCACTGCTATTAACAAACTGCCTTTCAAGTAGCTTGGAACAATTTCTTTTCTCATCAGCAATGTTTAAGATTGTTTCTACTAGATACAGTGGCACATGCCTGTAATCCCAGCAGCGCAGGAGGCTAAGACAGGAGGATCTCAAGTTCAAAGCCAGCCTCAACAACAGCAAGACATTAAGCAACTCAGTGAGACCCTTTCTCTAAACAAAATACAAAATAGGACTGGGGATGTGGCTTAGTGGTCAAGTGCCCCTGAGTTCAATCCCTGGTACCAAAAAAAAATTGTTTCCACTGATAATCTGCAGCACTTTTTTTAGTTCTCCAATTAGATAAGCAAATTTATACTTGTCTCGAATTTGAGAGTGAAGGAAACTGTTTTTTAAGATCATGTGAAGTCATATAACAGAGATGTTATTTGTTAATACCCCCAGACCTCGAAATCCTCTATTTCATCTCTTTATTTCTCCTGTAATATAAATTCTAGATCCTATAATTCCAATTTAATATTTTAAGACCATATTGAATTGGGGGACTTGCAGATAAACCACTGTTAAATTATCATTGAAATTTTTAGAAAAAAGACAAAAAATAAAAATTTGAATATTGTTTTGTTTATGAGCTAATTTGGACAGTATCACCAAATCTGTCTTATGTGTTTTGTTTTCAGTGAGTGATGCAAGTATTTTACTCAAGAAAGGAGTTTTTTGTTGTTGTTGTTGTTATTGTTGTTGTTTTGGAAAGTCCTCCCTCTGTAAAATAGCATTGACAGCTTCTTTAGTCTTATCTTTTAACATACCTGTTCTTTAGAGCTAGAAATGACTAATCATGTTATCACATGTCCTAGATCATATCCCTATTATTTTACCTCTTACTGCTCTAAAGAATCACTCATCCCTATTTCAATCCTTGTTACAAAACATAATCTGGGATTATCTACTTTTCTACCAAATGTAAAATGATTTTTAAGGGAGTTCTTTGCATCCTTTATCTTCCAGGCTTAGCAGCCTTGAAAAATAATTCTTATATAACAAATGAATTTCTGGAAGTCTAACTTGGTTAAGACAACACAATTGTAAACCAAAGATCATCCTTTTGTCCATATTAAACTCACCAAGTAAATAAATGATCTTCTATTTGGTTCTGCTTGGATTTTTATGTCCAAAGGTAACAGCTACTTCCAAGGGCTGAACCTGATGTGTGAAATTCCTTATTTCATAAGATGTAAAATTTAGTGCAGAAATATTAAATTTTTGTCATAATTGGGTTTTTTGTTCATATTCTTTCTTATCATTTCACAATAGAAAAATTAAACTTTATGATCACTTTTTCAGGAGTATTTTGACAGAAAATAGAGGACTAAAAATAATAATTTCCTTGAAGATATAATTGTTAATCATTGTTAATTATTCTTATTACCATTAACATTTACTTAATAATAGGCATAACAACCAAATGCACTGAAAGATCCTTGATTGGTTCTGGGACTTAAAAAATTAAAAAGCTGGGCTGGGTACGTAGTTCAGTGGCAGAGCACTTTCCTAGCATGTTCAGGGTCCTGGGTTCAATTCCCAACACCAAATATACAAATAAATATTAAAAAATAAAAACTTCTAAAGAACATGTGGCTAATTGGAGAAATTGAATGTGAGTCATATGTTAGATAATAGTATTGTATTGATATTAAATTGCCTTGGTGTCACAATTGTGCTGTGATTATGAAATAGACTGCCCTTATTCTTAGGAGATATATACTCAAGAATTTAGGGGTGACATGTGTCCTACAGTCAACAATATACTCTGAAATGGTTCAGAGAAAAAAAAAACTGAGAAAGACATACAGAAAGAGAGAGTAAATGTGGCAAAATGATACGACTGATTAATCTACATAATCGAAATTTAGGTGTTCATTGTACTATCCTTTCAATTTTTATATAGGTTTATAACTTTGAAGAATAAAAATGCAGGGTCAATGAATACAGGGACAATATCTTATATACCTAAAATAACAATTATATATGTATTTGGAAATGTTTTGGTGACTTTATGTAAGTATTTCAAACATCACTTTGCTCTAGATAATAAGTAGTGCACTACTCTTGTAAATCTTCAAAATCATCAGCATGATATGGATGTTTAACACATATTTCAAATACTCTTTACTCTTACAAGCTTTTCAAGCTATGAAACAATTGCCTTACACTAAATTATGCAAGGAATGTTATATAAAAAATCAGTATGCATATTCTGACTAAACAAGGTCTATATGCAAGCATATATTCAAGAAGCATGTGCACAAAGCAAAAGAATGCTTCAGCAGGTCTAAAGATATTTCTAACAAAAGTCTTAATATCCTAAAGCAGGCTTTTCCTAAATCACCCAGATGGCAATTTGAAAAGCATCATCATTACAGATCAGATTCACTTTGAATATATGTTGGAACATAGAACAACACTATCAAAGCTTGGTGAACTGAATAATTGAGAGTGAAATCCAACTAGAATGCATTGTGATTGTGTTTGTCTCTATAACTCATTGCTATAACTGAATTCAAGAGCCACGTTGTCACTGCAAAATCCTACTTAAGTTTTTAGGCCTTCTGTTAAAAATGTGGAAACTAAACTGGCACAGCAACCAGTAAGAGGACTGAATAAATTATACAACAAAGAATTTGATCAGACCAGTCAAAAAATTTCAAGTTAATTTTTTTAAATGTCAGGAATCACACAAGGAGATAAGAAAAGAAAGTGTTTAGCTGAATTCCTTTTTATTGTCCAAGCCCATTCAACGCTTGCTTCAACTCCTACTCACCTCTGATTTGGTGAGCTTTAAAAATATTTTAGATGAACTCTGACAATAAAGGGTTAAGAAAGTGAGAAGAGAAATGGAAGGAAATGTTACCAGAATCCCGTTGCCTCCTTTTTCTTACCTTCACTAGCCAGTCTGCTACTTTGGTCCTGCAGAAACACAATGATTGTCCCAATAGAAATGAACAAGCCAGCCAACACTCTTTCCAGAACGTTTGCAAGTCTTTGACTGATGAGACTGAGAAAATAAACTGCTCATTTCATTGCAGTTCTTTTTATAACTGATCCTATGGAAAAAGAGTTGTTTTTGCACAAGTCTGATTTGTACAAAGAAGCAGTGGGAAGTCCCAGGAAATGGGGGGTGGGTAATAACTGACGAACCCACATCGAGCCACAGAATGCACAGAATGGTGTTTCTTCCCCTTTTTCGAAAAATGAAACCTATCTATGAAACTGTCTCTTGCTAAAAAAAAAAAAAAAAAAAAGAAAGAAAGAAAAGTTTATTTCTATGCATTATGCAAGCACCCTATCAACACAATTAATTTGTCTTTCTACGATAACTAATTCTCGGGGAACCCTCTACTGAAATTCAACCAAAGCCATTTATGACTTTAGAAATTTCTCAGTTTTATCACTAATTTATATTTTTAAGAAGTATTATTTATCAATCATGTTTATAATTCTAAAAATGCAATGAAAAAAAAATTTCTCTTTCCAATTACCTAAAGTTAAAATTTTGTGGGCAAGGTTGTGGAGAAACGGACACTCCCATCCACTATTAGTGAGATTGTAAACATATTTAGAGAGCAATGTTTCAGTATCAGTCAAAATTTATTCCTTTTAAATGCAACTATTTCATTTCTATAAATTTATCTTAGCTATATATACATACTTGTGCACAAACATGTATATGAACATATATTTGTCACAGCATTGTTTGAAAAAGTAAATGACCCCCCCCCATCCTCTCCCTGTGGAGACCGAAACAACCCCTTGCACATAATCACAGTATGTATTTACAGCAGCCCAGCGAGCTATGCTTGAAGGGCTTTGAACCTGGCTGGCCAGGGAAGCAGAATGGGTGGATAGAGCTGTTTTTCCTTCTGGGCTGTTCTTCATCTGTCCCTGCCCTTTTCATGCCCCACCCCACTACCAACAAAAGTATATTTTTCACTGTCCATTGTTTTATGTTTGAATAAACAATTTATAGTGACAATAAAAAAGAAAATGAAGATGACTGAGAAAAAAAATGTTATCCATAAGTATGATATTGGCTAAATAAGTAAGAATGTATCCCTCTTGTGGAATATTATGCAATTGTTAGAGTGAGGTAGATTTATGTCTACTGATAGAAAAGGATATCTAAGATACATTCTTTAGCAAGAAATTATGTTCCAACTTGTGTTTTTAAAGGAATACACACACACACACACACACACACACATACATACACACACAAATTATTTGCTTACTAGAATATTTCTATTTCTGTATGGATACACACACAAAAAAAATTAGAAACAAGCAATAGCCTTTCTAGAATGAGGTTACTTTTCATTCTCTACCCCTTTGAAATTTTTATCTTGTATATTCCTGTCCATTTTACAAACTTTTATTTTAGTCTTATTTAAATTTATTTGATTTTACAGTCCAAATATATTATAATCTGTCTTTTCTAGATGACAGACAAGTCTATCTGCAAATGAATCAGTTCTTCTTGCCCCAAAACAGAAAATTAAAGTTTTCAAAAGCCCTTAGTTGGTTTACCCTGTTTCAACTTAACTGACAAAGAATAACCCTGCTCAAATGATAACCATTTCATCATCTTTTTCTACCATAGACCAAAGCTATTTTCCAAATCCTTAATTGGTGACCATTTCCACTTAGTGAGTTTGATTGTTTTGTTTACCTTTGTTCAATGGCTTATCATAAAAACTCACTTTTAAAATTATACTAGCATTTTTATTAGAGTCTTTCATAATTTTCTGCACTATGTCATGGATATAGATCCAATTGAAAAGGCAGTTTACATATGAGCCATAATAAAGACAGTTATCAACTAGTTTCAAATCTGACTTGATCTGCTATAAGAAACACAGACTCATAGACTCAGGGGTAGGCTCAGTGGCAGTGCAATACTATAAAATCTGACCTGGGATGTCTCCAGGCTTTAGTAGGTCATCAAGGATTTAGTTGTGATCAAGAGATCATAGAAACTTCAAGGCCAAACATTATTTAATTTCACCTTTGTGTAGGTCCAACCACAATCATGTGGATACCCTAGAGTGAGTCCTACCTAACTCCAGAAACACACTTTGGTGAATTCCCCAAGAACTCACTTGGCAATGCCATGAAATAACCAATGAGGGATGATTCCACCCCACTGCAGGTTTGCTTAAGTCACATGTATTAAATGAAGAATTTGATAACACTCACTCTTGATTTTGTCTCTTAAATTGAAAATCATCCTTGCCAGGAAAAAGTTTTCTGTAATAAAATAGTTGGCATATGAGAAGTTAGCTTACATCTCTCTTTGTATAAAAGCTGAGCATAAGAAATTGGTTTTGGGGCTGGAGATGTGGCTCAAGTGGTAACACGCTCGCCTGGCATGCGCGGGGCGCTGGGTTCGATCCTCAGCACCACATAAAATAAAATAAAGAGGTTGTGTCCACCGAAAACTGAAAAATAAATATAAAAAAAAGAAATTGGTTTTGAACTGCTTTCCTTTGTTGACTATAATAAAGTAGGATGGAAATTTCCTCAATAGCTGAAATCTTATAATATGGGTTTCCATTAATCTGCTATATTGCCTTGATTTCTGTTTCTCTAAATGGATATTATTACTATTACCCAATTACCTCTGCCAGTGTAAAAAATATCTTCTATGCAATTTCCATCATATCATCCACATCTAGCTCACTCTATAGTGGCCACCCTATATTTACTTCTAAATGTTCTAACACTAGTTGATTTTGTGTCATTGCACACTGCTAGTTATTCTCCTTCCTCCCCACTTTCTCCTTTCTAATCTCTTTCATTAGTTTCACATCAACCATCTATTTCCTAGAACTAAGGTTTCTTGCCTGTCTTTTTTTATCTTATTTTAAATATCTTATCTTGGTGAACTCATCACTTGCAACACCTTCCACTATCTTCTCTGTGTGACCTGTATTGTATATCTGTATCTCTAGGCCTGATTGTTTTTCTCTTATGATCACAAAAAGCTTGTTTATGGGCATTTGACTACTTTAATCATCTGTCTCAAAGGTCACATTCTCACTCATCTTTTTTTAATATTTATTTTTTAGTTGTAGTTGGACACAATACCTTTATTTATTTATTTTTATGTGGTGCTGAGGATAAAACCCAGGGCCTCACACTTGCTAGGCAAGTGCTCTACCACTGAGCCACAACCCCAGCCCACATCCTCATTCATCTTTTTTTTTTAATATTTATTTTTTAGGTTTTGGTGGATACAACATCTTTGTTTGTATGTGGTGCTGAGGATCGAACCCGGGCCGCACGCATGCCAGGCAAGCGCGCTACCGCTTGAGCCACATCCCCAGCCCCCTCATTCATCTTTATGGCAAGACCTAAACTCAAATTCCTACCTTGAATTCCTCTCTAATTTAACTTCATCCTTGATTTCTACAATTAGTCACCAATGCCTGCCAATTTGATACAATAGACCAGAGTCATTTATAATTGGATTTTCTTTGCACCTCTAAGAAAAGTAAACAAAACAACAACAAATAAATCAATAGTGCCCATATGACAGTACATAAAAAAACCCTTTTTCATAATAATGCATAATATAACATCTTTAAAAACACAATTCACCAGAAATAGCAGTGCATGCCTGTAAACCCAGCTACTCAGGAGGTTGAGAGTGAAGGCCAGCCTGGATAACTTAGCAAGACCCTGCCTCAAAATTTAAAAAATGGGGGTGGGTGGGGATGTAGCTCAGTGACAGAGTACTTGCCTGGCATATATGAGGCCCTGGGTTCCATCCCCATTACCATAAAAACAAAACCTGTAATCCTATCTACACAAATTCATTTTTCATAGTTTATCTTAATAATTACTTTTTCTGCAGATATAATTATAATATTCTACATAAGTTTTTAATGTACTTTCTCTGCAAAAGATTAATTTTAGTTGGCATTCTATAAAATTAACATGAACATATTAGAATTTAGAAACATGTTACATATCCCATAGAGTTAAATTAATATGACATTTAAAAATTCTTAGTTATACTCCAGTAGGTTTAATTTATACCAAAGAAATCCATGAGGTAAGCTCCAGGGCAGTACTGCTTATCTTGAGGACGGAATGACAGATTATAATTGCTTTATTAAGTACAACATTCTGAATTCCTATGAAGCTGTAATAGCTTGTTGTGCACTAGAGATTTTGTTATTTAGGATATAATTGATTGTAATGTATACTGTTTGCTCTTGAATAATTCCCATTTTCCACCTCAGAAAGATTTTCATTTCAGTATCAAATAATATGATTACTGCATTTGTAAAATTTCTGAAGCATTTTGAAATGCTTTCAGTTGAAAAATTATTTGAAAATGAAATATGATAAAAATTGAAAGGCAAATTGAATTTAATCCTATATATCTCATTTTAAAGCCATGTATAGTACACAGAATAGCTCATCCTTGTTGGCTATTACTCTTTAGTTGGCATCAATCAAAGGTAGCAAAGAAAGTACCTGAATGCTTAAGGAATTAACAATCCCACAAATACTTGGGTTTCTGCTTTCTAATTGTCATCCTTTGATTTTTTTATGGACACTGTCTACCTTAATGATCTAGTAAACATTGCTAACACCAAATTCAAATCTGTATCATTAACTCTAATTAAAGTAAACTGGAAACTGTAGCAAAACTATTTGTTTTAAGCCCATTTTAACAAACTTCTGCTCTGTCTTTCATAGTTCTTATATTTTCCTCTGTTGATCTCTTATTCCTTCCCTCAATCCGATTTTCAGATCTTGAACATGGAGACATTTGCTTCTTCAAGCTAAGATAATGTCTTATTTCATCTACCATAAATTGATTTTGAAGAGAATATTATTCTGTTCTCTGGTTGAACAACTTAGGGTTTCCATTTAACTGATAATATTTACTTACCTATTTTTTAAAATATTTTTTAGTTGTAGATGAACACCTTTATTTTATTTATTTATTTTTATTTAGTGCTTAGGATCTAACCCAGTGCCTCACACACGCTAGGTGAGCACTCTACCACTGAGCCAAAATCCCTACTTACCTATTTTTTGAGG